CAGGAGTCCCTTTTACTCCTGAAGCCCTTCATGTATTCCCGTGTCACAGTAATGAATGCATTTGGCCTTGTTTCAAGACGGAGAATAAATGGGGGAATAAAACAATATTTCACAAACCCCTCTTCTATGCAGGGGAACAGGGTGAATATTATCAGGAGTGAAGAATTGACATTCTACTTTTACCCTTAACTTGGGAGCATTTTTCCTGGGCAGGGACAAACTCTTCCAAGTTTCCTCTTAAGAGTTTTTCATGTGGCCCAGGTATTGAACATAAGATAGACTTGGAGAGGCCATTAGTTCTGGAGGCTTCACACTACTTGGCCTCATAGGTTTTTTTTTCTTCTCCCCAACTTCATAATGATAAACTAAGGTTTCCTTTGTGTACCACTTTCGCAGTACAGGTGCTTTTTGCAAGTCAATGGGAGAGAATTACACGTGTGGCTTATTAAATTGATCTACAATTTAATCAATAAATCATTCACAACATGAAAATGTCTTTGCTTTGAATTTGTGCTTGATAGCAATTTTCTATTTCCTAAAAACTTGTAACTGAAATGACAGCATGTCTTTATTAAGGAGAAATTTAAGAATAAAAAGAAATAACCTAATATAAGATTGTTTTAATTTCTGCCTATTTCATTCTGGATGTACCCACACTCATCCATGCTTCGCAAAGAGACAGTCACAGTATACGTGCCACCTTAATCATAAAGATTTATCTGGGTTTCTACATGGTTTTCACAGTGATACTTTTTCCTTTCATTATTCATCATTCTTCAGAGAACCATCACCTCCTGGGACTCCTGTGATGCAAGTGCCATGATTGTTAAGCTCTTTAAGTGAGGAAATCATATAATTTCATTTTTTTATCCTTTCTATGGCAAAAGCAGTTCTGAGAATATGCTAGGCACTTTAGTGCTTGTAGCCTTGGAAAAAGGTGGTGAACGTTTTTGTAGAAGATACATTCTGGGAACAAAGCACCATCAAAAGGCTAAGAGATTTAGCTGGGCATGTGGCATGCACCTGTAGTCCCAGCCACTCTGGAGGCTGAGGCAGGAGAGTCGCTTGAACCTGGGAGGTGGAGGCTATAGTGAGTCGAGATCATGTCACTGCAGTCCAGCCTGGGCGACAGAGGAAGACTCTGTCTCAAAAAAAAAAAAAAAAGGCTAGGCACAGTGGCTCAGGCCTGTAATCCCAGCACTTTGGGAGGCTGAGGTGGGTGGATTACCTGAGGTCAGAAGTTGGAGACCAGCCTGGCCAACACGGCAAAACCCCGTTTCTACTAAAAATACCAAAAATTAGCTGGGTGTAGTGGCGGGCGCCTATAAATCCCAGCTACTCGGGAGGCTGACATGGGAGAATCACTTGAACCCAGGAGGCAGTGGTTGCAGTGAGCCGAGATCGCACCATTTTACTCCAGCCTGGGCAACAAGAGCAAAACTCCGTCTCAAACAAAACAAAACAAACTGCTAAGAGATCTAATCAATTCTTCTGGCACACAAAGTAATATGAATTTCCTGAAAATGGAACTAAAAATATATTAACCACATTTCTCCATATTCAACCCTTCAAACCAAAATTGTGATGATACCTTTTTTGTATGCTGACAATTGTCATGATTACTCTTATGAAGGAAATAGTAGTAAAAAAAAATCTGTTTCTTGTTACTCTTTTTCTGTAATCCATATGGAAAATTAAATTATATAGATGGCAAAAACTTTCCTGATAAACTGGCTTTACCATTAATAACACACAAGCTTTTCTTAAACTCTGGCTTTGTCTAACACTTTTTGTTAAGCAAATGGGTTTTTACCCTCCAAACCACTGAGGGACTGATTTATAGTTGAAAACTACAGAAAATACAGAAAGACTTCCTCTAGTCTTATCCACAACTCTTTATAATGTTATTGCATGAGAATTTTTAATGCAGTGCAGTAAGAAAAGCACCCTCAGCTGTGCCTCGGAAGACCTAAGCTCTGGCTCTGGCTCTACTACCAAATTGCTGTGTGATTTTGGGAGAGTCACTTTGCCTCTCTGGACTTCAATATTACCACTTTGAAAGAAAGAGAGGGGGAGAGACATCAGCTGGATGACCTGAGGCCATTTTCTGCCCTAATACTCTATGACAAGTATCCGTAATAGAGGTAATTTCTACATTTACACTTAGGGTTTATTTAAATACAGTCTTTTCTTTCTCTTTATTTTGAGGGAAAGGAGGTCAAATATGCTGCTAGTCTGTTTTTCCTTCTGAAGTGAAATGCAGTCTTTTGAACTTTTGGAGGGACCCAGTGGAATTGAATTGAATCCCCAATGGATCTGATCCAGCATTTTCAGAACCCATTGAATGTGCAGCAGGAGGTAGACTTGGAGAGGCCATTGGCTCTGGAGGTGTCACACTACTTTGGCCTTGTAGTTTGGTTTTTGCTGCCTTCCCATAGAATGCCTGAATCCCTGCTGTAGGCCCAAAGGTGAGGAACCAAGGTTTGTCAGTTAACTATGTCAGTTTGCCTGTCTTCAGAGTCAGGATGTTGTGGGTTGAATAATGGTCAACCAAAGAGACAAAGTCTTAATTCCTAGAACTTGTAAACGTTACTTGGGAGAAGAGCTTCTGCAGATGTGATTAAGTCAAGGATTTTGAGATAGGGAGACTATCATGGATTACCTGGTTGGATCCTAAATCCAATCATGAGTGTCCGCATAAATTAGAAGTGGGTGAGATCTGATGCAGACACACAGTGTAGAAGGAGATGTGAAGATGGTGGAGATTAAAGTGATGTGGCCACAAGCCCCAGATTTGCTGGGGCAGCCACCAAGAGCCAGAAGTGGCAAGGAACAATTCACCCTTCAAGCACCCAGGAGGAGGCAGCCCTGCTGGATTATTGCCATCTGGCCTCCAGAACCAGGGGAGAATACACATCTGCTGCTCTAAGCCACTAAGTTGGTGGTAATTTGTTACAGCAGCCACAGAAAACAAATACACAGGTGACAGCAGGCGAGTGTCCAGTCCTGCAGGGGCCCACACCAGTCCCCAGATCTGGCCCCGGAAACACAGAAAGAGGAGCATCCTTCCATTCTGGCTGTTCAGTCCTTTCCTCCAACTCTTCACCAGACTCCCACATCTCCACCTTGCCTCATTTTGCCTGTTCAACTATTTATTAAGAAGTTGCTGTGCACCAAGCACTGTGCCAGGTATGGAGAAGCAGCTGATAAAACAATCCTCAGGAACTGAAAATAGAGACGGTTTGGGGTTTAGATCAGCTTGCACTAGAAACTGGGCTTGGGGGGAATTCCACCTTAGTCCCTCAGGCCTTGCTTAACTGGGCTTTGGAGGGGAAGGTGGCTTCCCCCACACCTGCCCACACTGATGAGGCAGTCCCATAGTTCCCACCATCATGACATGGACTAGTCATACCTGAGGGCCCTGAGTTCTCCATTGGCTCACCATTGATCTTTGCTTATCACATACAAAACTCATAAAGGAACTGGGTTTTCCCCAAACTGTGTCAAAACGTGAATGATGGTGAGGTGAATTTCCGAGGTATGAATTCAGGTACCAGCAGATATTTCCTTTTATTTCTTCTTTAGAGACAGGTCAGTGGCTGAATCATAGCTCACCTCAAACTGCTGGACTCAAGTGATCCTCCCACTTTAGCTTCCCAAGTAGCTAGGACTACAAGCGCATGCCACCACGCCTGGCTAATTTTATTTAAACAATTTGTAGAGATGATGTATTAGTCTGTTGTCACACTGCTATAAAGAAAGACCGAGATTGGATAATTTATAAAGGAAAGAGGTTCAATTGACTCACAGTTCTGCATTGGTGGGGAGGCCTCAAGAAACTTACAATCATGGTGGAAGGTAAAGGAGAAGCAGGCACATTTTTCACAGGTCGGCAGGATGGAGTGAGTGCAAGCAGGGAAAATGCCAGGTGTTTATAAAACCATCAGATCAGATCTGTTGAGACTCACTCACTATCACGAGAACAGCATGGGGGAAACTGCCCAATGATGCAATTAACTCCACCTGGTCCCGCCCTTGACACATGTGGATTATGAGGATTATAATTCAAGATGAGATTTGGTTAGGAACACAGAGCCAAATCATGAGCTGGGGTCTTGCTATGTTGACCAGTCTGGTCTTGGACTCCTAGGCTCATGCAATCCTCTTGCCTCAGCCTCCCAAAGTGCTGGAATTATAGATGTGAGCCACCGTACCTGGCATCCAGCAGATATTTCTACTGCATTTCTCCAGGAATGAGTGGGTTGGAGATGAGGAGATTCTGGAACTTCTGTTGTTTCCTCCCAACAATTCTGGGACTCATGTTCACTCTCCTGGGATAGGGGAAATTGACTTAAAGTCATTTTCAAAGGGCATTCCTGTTGAAATAGTTAATATATGTACATGCTATGTACATGCATACCAAATACACACACATTTGTGTACACTACATACCATGGAGGAAAGCCAGTCTTGGTATAAATTTTACAACTTCAAAATAATAATGGAATTATGATTTCATTTTAATACCATTTTCAATTAAAAATTTTAATAGACTTTTTTAGAGGTTTTAAGTTTACAGAAAATCTAGGTAGACAACACAGAAAATTCCCATTAACCCCTGTATTCGTCTGCTAGGACTTCCATAGCAAAATACTACAGGCTGAGCAGCTTAAACAACAGAAATTTGTTTTCCCACAGTTCTGGAGGCTAGAAGACCAAGGTGCCCACAAGTTTGGTTTCTGGTGATGCCTATTTACCTTACTTGCAGACGGCCACCTTCTCCCTGTGTCCTCACATGGCCTTTCCTCTGAGCACTTGGAGGCCAGAGAGTGAGCTCTGGTGTGTATTCCTCTACCGAGGAGACACCAGTCTTACTGAATTAGGGCCTCAGCCTTATGATCTCATTTAACCCTCACTGCCTCCCTAAAGCCTTTAGGTGACTAGATGTGAGGGTGGAGCCCTCAAGAGACTGCATTGCCTTCTTTCTGTCTGCTCTTGTAGTGGGAGGACACCTCCAGAGGAGCTGCTGTTCACTGAGCTGCACTCACACATGAAGATACAGACTTTGTGAAGAAGGAATTGGCAACGCTGAAACCTCCAGAACAAAGGCTATCACTAAGGTATGTGCTATAAGCATCCTTGGGGAAGAAGGGCATGAGTAGGCAGGGGCATTTTTATATCTTTAGAGGATAGGCAAAGGGAAGACCACAATTTCAGAGGTCTAGCACAAGAGGTAAATTTTTTTTTTTAATCTTTGCATTTCCTCAGAGCCCACAAACATGCATGTGTATTAGTGGCTGCCCATGCTCTGGCTGAGGGGAGCAAGCCATGCCATTTTCTCTGCAGGCCTTTAGGAGAGAGTGAAAACTCCTAGAAGAGTGGGAAGGTAGATAAGAAAAGATCCTTTATAATACCGGGCATCTGGGAAGATCTGTCCTTGTGCTGGGTACAGGGCTTCTATCAGGTAACTGAAGGACACCTGGGTGCTGTTCTTAAGGAAGGAAGCCAGCAAGCAAACTTTCATATAACTAAAGATGTTGCTGGTGGGTGCCTGTAGTCCCAGCTACTCAAGAGCCTGGGGCAGAAGGACTGATTGCGCCCAGGAGTTAGGGGCTGCAGTACACTGTGATCACACCTGTGTATAACCACTGCACTCCAGCTTGGGCAACATAGTGAGACCCTGTCTCTATAAAAAATAAATAAATTGCTGCTTGCTTGTGCTTTCAAATCATAGAAAGGTAGCAGAGTGGATAGGGATGTCTGAATGTAACGCAAACAAATTCCTTGGAAAAATATGTCTGGATTGAAATTGTATTGAATGTATATATCAATTTGAGAAGAATTGTCAAGTTTTATAATTTTTATGTAACTGAATTGCATTTTTATTAGGTTTATTCCTAGAAATGCTAGTAATTTTCATTGCTAGTATAATTGGGATCATTTTTCTATTGCATTTATAAAATTATTTTTTTTTGGTGCTTAGGAAAGCAATTAAAAGAATAAACTGATGACTATCATGCAGATATATCTCTAAAACAGTAAGGAAAATACAAAATGAGAAACAATATATCATTTATGTAAGTTAAAAGTAAACACACAAAAATATATATTGTTTATGGATGTATATAAATATGTAAAAGTACAGGGGGAATTTGTTTCCAATGACACATACCAAATTGGTTTTAGTTGTTTATGTTATGGGGATAAGTTGTGTAGTTAAAGGGAACATTAGCTTCATCTCTATTGCATCAAAAATAAAAAAAAGAAGAGGGATGGAAGGAAGAGAGGGTATGAGGGAGGGAGAAAATAAGGGAGAAAAAAAGGAGGAAGGAAGGAAAAAAAAAGAATCCAAAGTATTGTGAGAATATGTTAACAGCTGCTAATTCTAGGTGATGGAACTACAGGTATTTACATTTTCATTGTAAGTTTTGGCTTTTCTCATCTCGGCTGACTCCCCTGTACTAGCTTGGGTTTAGATAACAAAATACAATAGACTGAGTGACTTAAACAACAGAGAGTGTTGTTTAACATACTTCTAAAGGCTGGAAGTCCAAGATCAAACTGCCAATGCGGTTGATTTCTGGTGAGGCTTCTCTACCTGGCTTGCTGATTTCAGCCTTCTTGCTGTGTCCTCACATGGTCTTTACTCCATGCACAAGAGCAGCGAAATTTCTTGTGTCTCTTTCTCTTCTATTAAGGACACTAGTTCTATCAGATTAGGGCCCTGCCTTTTTTGGTTTCGTTTCTGTTTTCTTTCTTTTTTTTTTGAGACAGAGTCTCACTTTGTCACCCAGGCTGGAGTACAGTGGCGTGATCTTGACCCATTGCAATCCCCATTTCCTGGGTTCAAGCAATTCTCGTGCCTCAGCCTCCAAGCTAGCTTGGATTACAGGCGTGTGGCACCATACCCGGCTAATTTTTGTAATTTTAGTAGAGACAGGGTTCTGCAGTGTTGGCCAGGCTTGTCTCAAACTCTTGGCCTCAAGCAATCCGCCTACCTCGGCCTTCCATAGTGCTGGGATAAAGGTGTGAGGCACTGTGAGAGCCAGGGCCCTGCCTTTATAACCTCATTTAACCTGTTTTTGTTTTTGTTTTTTTTTTGAGACAGAGTCTTACTCTGTCACCCAGGCTGGAGTACAGTGGTGCGATCTCGGCTCACGGCAACCTCCGCCTCTTGGGTTCAAGTGATTCTCCTGCCTCAGCCTCCTGAGTAGCTAGGATTACAGGCATGCACCCGCTGCACCTGGCTAATTTTTGTATTTTTTAGTAGAGACATGGTTTCGCCATGTTTGTCAGGCTGGTCTTGAACCCCTGGCCTCAGGTGATCCGCCCACCTCGGTCTCCCAAAGTACAAGGATTACAGGCATGAGCCACAGCTCCCAGCCTATCATTTAACCTTAATTACCTCTTTAAATACCCTATCTCTAAATAGTCACACCCACACCAGGGGTTGAGCACTTCAACGTGTGAATTTGTGCAGGACACAATTCAGTCCATAACATCCCCCTAATTTTTAAAAAATAAAAATGTTTTTAAGGAGTGTCTTTTATGTGTCTCTGTGACCAGGTCCCGCTGCCTTGATGGATTATACACTTGACCCCAGCATGACAACAATGACCGACTACTACTACCCTGATAGCCTCTCAAGCCCCTGTGATGGAGAACTTATCCAGAGAAACGACAAGTTGCTCCTTGCTGTCTTTTATTGCCTCCTGTTTGTATTCAGTCTTCTGGGAAACAGCCTGGTCATCCTGGTCCTTGTGGTCTGCAAGAAGCTGAGGAACATCACAGACATATACCTCTTGAACCTGGCCCTGTCTGACCTGCTTTTTGTCTTCTCCTTCCCCTTTCAGACCTACTATCAGCTGGATCAGTGGGTGTTTGGGACTGTAATGTGCAAAGTGGTGTCTGGCTTTTATTACATTGGCTTCTACAGCAGCATGTTTTTCATCACCCTCATGAGTGTGGACAGGTACCTGGCTGTTGTCCATGCCGTGTATGCCATAAAAGTGAGGACGATCAGGATGGGCACAACCCTGAGCCTGGTAGTATGGCTAACCGCCATTATGGCTACCATCCCATTGCTAGTGTTTTACCAAGTGGCCTCTGAAGATGGTGTTCTACAGTGTTATTCATTTTACAATCAACAGACTTTGAAGTGGAAGATCTTCACCAACTTTGAAATGAACATTTTAGGCTTGTTGATCCCATTCACCATCTTTATGTTCTGCTACATTAAAATCCTGCACCAGCTGAAGAGGTGTCAAAACCACAACAAGACCAAGGCCATCAGGTTGGTGCTCATTGTGGTCATTGCATCTTTACTTTTCTGGGTCCCATTCAACGTGGTTCTTTTCCTCACTTCCTTGCACAGTATGCACATCTTGGATGGATGTAGCATAAGTCAACAACTGAATTATGCCACCCATGTCACAGAAATCATTTCCTTTACTCACTGCTGTGTGAACCCTGTTATCTATGCTTTTGTAGGGGAGAAGTTCAAGAAACACCTCTCAGAAATATTTCAGAAAAGTTGCAGCCATATCTTCATCTACCTAGGAAGACAAATGCCTAGGGAGAGCTGTGAAAAGTCATCATCCTGCCAGCAGCACTCCTTCCGTTCCTCCAGCATAGACTACATTTTGTGAGGATCAATGAAGACTAAATATAAACACATTTTCTTGAATGGCATGCTAGTAGCAGTGAGCAGAGGTGTGGGTGTGAAAGGTTTCCAAAAAAAGTTCAGCATGAAGAATGCCATATATGTTGTTGCCAACACTTGGAACACAATGACTAAAGACATAGTTGTGCATGTCTGGCACAACCTCAAGCCTGTGATTGTGTTTATTGATGATGCTGAACAAGTGGTAACTTTAAAGGATTCTGTGTGCCAAGTGAAAAGAAAAGATGTCTGACCTCCTTACATATGCAAAAATATACCTCCAGAGCCTGTCGGTAGGCTGGAAGAAGTGGATATTGAAATTTCCAGTTGTCTATTCATTGACTGATGGTGAAACAGCTGAAGTGATTCTGAATCAAGGTGATTGTGATTATAGTGACAATGAAGATGATGCTGTTAATACTGCATAAAAAGTGCCTGTCGATGACATGGTGAAAATATTTGACAGGCTTATGGAAGGACTAGAGCAGCATACATTCATAACAGAACAAGAAATTATGTCAGCTTATAAAATCAAACAGAGACTTCTAGACAAAAACCATTGTTGATGATGCCTCTAGAGGAGACGTTTAAAAGCCATCAAACAGAATGCCTTCCCTGGAGGACCCACTTCCTCATTCCTAAACTGTGTCTGATGTTTCTTCTCATGTAAGAAATAAAAAATAAAAATAAAATAAAATATATTGGTATGTAACTACAGGAAAAAAATAAAAAATATATAGTGGATGGTAACCTTTCAATAAAAACTCAGTATCATAAGTAGAGACTGAAAGCTTACCGTTGTTGCTATTGTTTAACAGCTGATACAGGTATTCTGCTGATGCTACTGCTGCTTAGTTACCACGAACACGTTGTTTTTTCACTATTAATGGTGTGTCATATTTTTTACTTTTAAGTACTTATGTGTGAGTAAGTGTAAGAAAATGATTGCTTATCAGTAGTATCAACGATTTACTCAATATCTGAATCACCTTGATTCAGAACCATTTCAGCTGTTTCACCATCAGTCAATGAATATCAGTCTCATTATTGATGTCAAAAACTTCAATATCCATTTCTTTCAGCCTACTGCAGACTCTGGAAGTATATTTTTTTGCATATGTAAGGAGGTCAGACTTTTTTTTTTCACTTGACATACAGAATCCTTCAAAGTTACCACTAGTTCAACATCATCAGTAGACACAATCACAGGGCAGAGGTTGTGCCAGGCATGCACAACTACGTCTTTAGATTTTGTGTTCCAAGTGTTGGCAACAACATATATGGCATACTTCAGATAAGTTCAGAGTCAGGAAAGATGATGGTGCCAAACCGCCACAAATATTCTATTTGTGGGTGGCTGAGACAGTGACATCTTTGCTTTCTGATGATTCAACATACACAAACTTTGTTGCATGCACAAAAATTATTAAAAATTTTGGCTGGGCATGGTGGCTCACCCCTGTAATCCCAGCACTTTGGGAGACCAAGGCGGGTAGATCACTTGAGGTCAGGAGTTCAAGACCAACCTGGCCAATATGGTGAAATTCCATCTCTACTAAAAATACAAAAATTAGCCTTTCTGCCTGTAAATGCCACCGAAGAAGCACCGTTAGAGTCTCTCTTCTCACTGCCATCATGTCTAAGTCAGAGTCTCCTAAAGAACCTGAACAGCTGAGGAAGATCTTCATTGGAGGGTTGAGCTTTGAAACAACCAATGAGAGCCTGAGGAGCCATTTTGAGCAACGGGGAACGCTCACGGACTGTGTGGTAATGAGAGATCCAAACACCAAGTGCTCCAGGGGCTTTGGGTTTGTCACATATGCCACTGTGGAGGAGGTGGATGCAGCCATGAATGCAAGGCCACGCAAGGTAGATGGAAGAACTGTGAAACCAAAGAGAGCTGTCTCAAGAGAAGATTCTCAAAGATCAGGTGCACACTTAACTGTGAAAAAGAACTTTGTTCGTGGCATTAAAGAAGACACAGAAGAACATCACCTAAGAGATTATTTTTAACAGTATGGGAAAATTGAAGTGATTGAAATAATGACTGACCGAGGCAGTGGCAAGAAAAGGGACTTTGCCTTTATAACCTTTGACAACCATGACTCCGTGGATAAGACTGTCATTCAGAAATACCACACTGTGAATGGCCATAACTATGAAGCTAGGAAAGCTTTGTCAAAGCAAGAGATGGCTAGTGCTTCATCCAGCCAAAGAGGTCGAAGTGGTTCTGGAAACTTTGGTGGTGGTTGTGGAGGTGATTTTGGTGGGAATGGCAACTTTAGTGGTGGAGGAAACTTCAGTGGTTATGGTGGGGCAGCCATGGTGGTGGTGGATATGGTGGCAGTGGGGATGGCCATAATGGATTTGGTAATGATGGAAGCAACTTTGGAGGTGGTGGAAGCTACAATGATTTTGTCAATTATGACAATCAGTCTTCACATTTTGGACCCATGAAGGGAGGAAACTTTGGAGGCGGAAGCTCTGGCCCCTATGGTGGTGGAGGCCAATACTTGGCCAAACTACGAAACCAAGGTGGCTATGACAGTTCCAGCAGCAGCAGTAGCTATGGCAGTGGCAGAAGATTTTAATTAGGAAACAAAGCTTAGCAGGAGAGGAGAGCCAGAGAAGTGATAGGGAAGCTACAGGTTACAACAGATTTGTGAACTCAACCAAGCACAGTGGTGGCAGGGCCTAGCTGCTACAAAGAAGATATGTTTTAGACAAATACTCATGTTTATGAGCAAAAAATCTCGAGGACTGTATTTGTGACTAATTGTATAATGGTTATTTTAGTTTCTGTTCTGTGGAAAGTGTAAAGCATTCCAACAAAGGGTCTTAATGTAGAATTTTTTTCTTTTTTTTTTTGCGCACCCATGCTGTTGATTGCTAAATGTAATAGTCTGATCATGACGCTGGATAAATGTCTTTTATTTTTCTAATGTGCTGTGTAAAGTTAGTCTACTCTGAAACCATCTTGGTAAATTTCCCCCAGCAGTGTGAAGTTAGAATTCTTTCAGGGTGATGCCAGGTTCTATTTGGAATTTATATACAACCTGCTTGGGTGGAGAAGCCATTGTCTTCAGAAACTCTAGTAACTGACAGTTACTAAACCATAATAACTGACAGTTATTATGACCTGAAGCTCACCATTGAAAGGGATTACCCAAGCAAAATCATGGAATTATTGGTTATAAAAATGATTGTTGGCACATCCTATGCAATATATCTAAATTGAATAATGGTACCAGGTAAAATTATAGATGGGAATGAAGCTTGTGTATCATCCATTATCATGTGTAATCAATAAATGATTTAATTATTTTGAAAAATAAAAATACAAATACAAAAATTAGCAAGGTGTGGTGGCTTGTGCCTATAGTCCTGGCTACTTGGGAGGCTGAGGCAGGAGAATCACTTGAACCTGGGAGGCAGAGGTTGCAGTGAGCAGAGATCGTGCCCCTGCTCTTCAGCCTGGGCAACAGAATGAGACTCCGTCTCAATAAATAAATAAATAAAATGAAATTCATAAAACTACTGTGATGATTAATACTGAGTATCAACTTGATTGGATTGAAGGATACAAAGTATTGATCCTGGGTGTGTCTGTGAGGGTGTTGCCAAAAGATATTAACATTTGAGTCCGTGGGCTGGGAAAGGCAGACCCACCCTTAACCTGGATGGGAACCATCTAACCAGCTGCCAGCATGGCCAGAATATAAGCAGGCAGAAAAATGTGAAAAGAGAGACTGGCCTAACCTTCCAGCTGACATCTTTCTTCCGTGCTGGATGCTACCCGCCCTTGAACATCAGACTCAAGTTCTTCAGTTTTGGAACTCGGACTGGCTCTCCTTGCTCCTCAGCCTGCAGATGGCCTACTGTGGGACCTTGGGATCATGTGAGTTTATATATATATATATATATATATATATATATATATATATATATATATATATATATATTCCATTAGTTCTGTTCCTCTAGAGAACCCTGACTAATACAACTACCTTCAGGCTATGTGTATAAGGTATATATAAAACATAAATGAATTCTGTGTTTAGACCTGGGTCCCATCCCCAAAATATCTCATTATGTATACACAAATATTCCAAAATCTAAAAAAAAAAAAAAAACCAAAATCTGAAACACTTCTGATCCCAAGCATTTAGGATAAGGGATATTCAACATGTATGTTAAAATATTTAACTATGATTGGAAGTTTGTCTATTTTTCATTTTAATTATTTTAATTTTTGCAGTATATATCTTGAAGCTATGCTATTAGGTGAATGCATAAATAGTTTTGTTATGACTTTTTATTGAATTGACTCTTTTAGCATTATGAAATGCCTCTTTCTCTCCGGTAATACTTCTTGTCTTAATATCTACTATGCTTAGCATTAATATAGCCACACTGGTTTTTCTTTTGATTAGGGCATATGTTGTATAAGGACTTTATTTAAGTTAATAAATGGAATCCAACCTCTCTAGAACCCATATAGGATAGGCCCCATATTGTAATCATGTCTACTCCCACTGCCGTTAAAGATGCAGGCGTCACACTTTCAATTCACTATAGCTGGCTGAAACCAGCGGCAGCAGTAACTCCTAACGACGACCAGTGGATTAACAAAAAATACCCAGATCGCTCCACCCGCATAGTCCTATGGCAAAATCCAACCACTGGTAAGAAGGACAACTGCCCTACACTGACCACACCGGAAGCTGGTCAGTCTACACATGGCTAAAGCTTGAGGATCCCGCAAGCTCTGCTCTAGTCACATCCCAGAAGCTGACTAGTCTATGACAGTCAAAGCTAAGAGGACCATCTCTGGAAAAGTAAATATAAATACAATTTATAAGCCTAGTTATAATTCTGTCAATACTGATTGTTCTGTTGTCATGTTATTACTGCAAATGCTGCAAATGTCTATGCCCAGAGGAAGGTTTGCCATGCCCATGTGTAGTGTAAGCATTTTTCTATTACATACACTAATGTTCTTACCATTTCTGCCTATAGTAAAAAAGGAGAAATCTTTAGAAAGATGCCCACATTGTGTACACACTACCTGGGTAAGAAATACCATAGTTAAAACTCTACTGTACCATACCTACTATAAATGTACAGAAACCAAGTTAGGAACCTGCACATACAACCAGGCCACCTATTCAGTCTGTGACCCAGGAAATAATCAGCTATATGTATGTTATAACCCTAAACTCTTACCCTATGAATTCTGGTTTGAGGTACCCATTAAATCAGAGGAAAAAAAAAAAAGGAGAGGTTATAGCTTGAACCAAAGAAGCCCCTCCCTCCTATAAAAGACCTATTTACTTGTATTTGGATGCCTGCCATGCCGCATATGTTCATAATCTTAAAAAAACCAGAAGCA